TGTTGAATAGTTGGCAAATTTTTGTGGCTGACTTTTCTGCACCTCTCTCCTCTCTTTGCTTTAATAGAAGTCACTCCTCTTCTTGTTGGAATCTGGAATGACTCCTTTCCACACCAGTGAGCACACATCTGCCTATTAGATTTAAAGAGTTTAACTTTCCCTCTCAGATTTGTTAAAGACATTGTAACTGACAAATGATGAAGCTGCCAGAAATTTAGAAGTGGCCCTGTTAGGGTTTTGAGACAAGCAGCTTTATTTAAAGTGCACCTGGATATTTACATCCATGTCAGATGTCTGTTCAGCCATAGTAGTTTAAAGTTGTGCGCTCAGCATTGTTGGCTGACAGAACTCTTAGAAGAGGAGAGGGGGAAAAAATCAGTACCTGAGGAAAGTCATGCTAGGCCACATCACAAGAGCCTGATGTGGAGGGAGGATTACCAGGTTGGGAACCTTCACTAAGCGAGTGAGGAACTTGGAGCAAGCTACTGTGGTGTAGGAGGTCAAGTCACCTTTTGGACCTTTGTATACTGGAAGATTCTACAAGCACATCAGGGGTTTCTGTAGCGCAGCAGTGGTCACCACTGAAGTTGCTGGAGTGAATCCAGGCTCCTGTTCTTCCAGGACTACCTTTGTGGAGGATTCCGATTGAGCGCCATGGTGTAGGCCTCAACTTGGCCCAATCACCCAGCCCTTGTTGTTGTGGACACTTGGAGAATGAAGCAAGAGATGAAAGATCTTGCTCCCTTGACTCTTGGCCTTTCTGATAAAATGAAAGTAAATACATTAGAAGTTATTTTAAAAAGAAAGAAAGAAAATGAACTCAATGACCTTTAGTGGATGTTCCATGTAGATTTCTGTCTCTCCTTTTACATATAGGAGTTCCACTCCTCACAGAAGCTCTGAATAACAGAACCTGAATTCAAATCTCTCCTTCAAAGCTGGTGCATTAAGTTGCTGAGCTCATATTCAAAACCACTTTATGTGGCTTTATGACCTTTACTAAGATCCTGGGAAGTCCCAGGGGCGTTTCCAAAGGACAGCAAACTGGTACTTTCAGGTTTGCTTTGTAAAAAGGTCTCCTCTACACACATCCCCTTGTGTGGCTGCTCATGCAATCTTGTTCTGAGATTCAGAGCTTGAAACTGGAGGGAGGTGAAGTCCTGCTTATGTTGCAGGCATCCCATATCAGGATGCCAGTTCAAGGCCTGACGGCTCTGCTTCAGATCCATCTTCATACCCATGTGCCTGGGAAAGCAGCAGGTAAAAGTCCAAGTACTTGACCCCGTGACACCCACATGGGAGATCTGGATGAAGTTCCTGGCTCCTGGTTCCCCCCTGGACCAACTCAAACCATTGCAGCCTTTTGGGGAGTGAACCATTGAATGGAACATCTCTCTGTCTCTGTGCTATCTCAGTCACTTTGCCTTCCAAATAAATCAGTCCATCTAAAAGAAATCTTGAAACATCCAGATTTTCCTTCAGTGGATGAATAAGTAAATTCAGCTGTGGTACATCCAGACCATGAAGCACTAGTGCTGAAAATAAATGACCTTCAAGCAGTGAAAACAACGTGGAGGATTCATATGTAATTCATAGTAATTGAAGCAAGCCAATGTGAATTGTCTGCATATGGCATATTTATAACTTTCTGATGTTCTGGAAAAGGTAAAGCTCGAAGCAGTGAACATCAGAGGTCTCCAGCGTATAGGGGTTGGGAGAAGGAATGGAAGACATGGTGAAGTACAGATGATATTTAGGGCAGTGATTCCATCATGGTGGATCTCTATTGTGCCTTTGTCTAGAACCAACAGTGAACGCTGATGTCAACGATGGACTTCAGGTGAGACTAGTATAGGAAATGCAGCACCCAGAAGGGGATGCTGTGGGCAGGGGGATATTAGAAATACCTGTATTGCAGCTGAATTTTGCTGTGAACTTCAAATTTTTCTAAATAAATAATTTCCAACATTTTAAAATTTGAGATTTCATAGTACATTGTATTTGCCACCCCTAATATGTATGTATGTATGCATATTATACATGCATGTTTCCTCTATATCTGCATTACCACTGTGTCCTAGGGTGGAATATGTTTGAAAAAAAGTTTCTGTTTTAATTCAGTTTTTTTTCATTTTGAAATACACTTTGGTATCTCATATTTGATTTTATGTTGTGTCCAGTGGTGTGTGTGTGTTTAACATTCATTATATATTAGGTTCACTGCATGAAACTTATATTAACCTTTCAAGATCCCCAAAAGGTAGCTGTGTTCTCTGATGCATTGTAGAAACAGAGGGTGGGTGTCTGCTTAGGCCCCATGGCTGCCAAGACCAAAACTGGCCTCCCAGCCCATGTTGGTTGCTGCTCAGTGATGGTCTGTGTGCCTCTGGCCAGAATTCCTGATGCCCCTTCACTGGGTAACCTTCAGTAAATACTTTGCAGTTCAATTCTTGAAAGTGGGTGAGCTGTACTAGATGATTTGTTCCTATAGCAGATTTAATTAAAGCACAGCTTTCTTATGTTGCCTTCATGCCCACCTGTTTAGGAAGCAGATAAAGCCACATATCCTGAACTGCGTGTCTGGAAGGATTGCAGTTGATCACGATGGGGATGCCACAGGGTAGAGTTTCTGACTTTATCTCCAGAACTTGATGAACCCCCTTTTCTGGCGTTGCTTCCTCCGAGGGTGCAGAGAGCTTGAGGAAGCTCCGATGCCTGCCAGGGAAGCTGTGACCAGACACTGAGTCCTTACTCAGGCTTCAGGGGCAGCTCCTTCAGTCGTTCCTGTTGGTGTTTTGGTGGGAAAGGACCCAGAGAGTGAAACAGTGGCTGGCCTCTGAGACTTCCGTAGATTTCCTGATAGAAGATGTTGGCGATCTCCTGACATCCCCGTGGCTCCCTTGGGGTTTAGGTGACCACCAGACTCCGACTTCTACAACTTCTGTGTCATTCTTGATGCTGATGAGTTTCCTGTGTGTGCTTCTCCAAAGTAGAATTTGGACCTCTTAAGATATTCTTGCCACCCTTTTCAATTATGAAATTTTAGAAAAACAATGTGAGATTAAAAACAACAGTAAGAAATGCCAGAGTTTTATTTTCAGCTTAGAATGTCTAAGCTGAATTTTGTCCAAGAGGTGTCATTGTGTGGGTTTCATGAAGTATCTATTCCCCTCTATGTCTGTCATGCTAAGATCTCACTAGAAGCCCCTAGATAAGTTTGTGTTTGTGAGAATTAGATTGGAAGAACTGGTTGTCTTACAGGTAAAATATGCACACCACGTACCCTGTAAGGCAATACAACGGTCTAAATGGAGTTGACGATTTAACCAAGGACAAACATATTTAAATGGAGTTGAGAGGATGCTTTAACTGTTGGCACAAGCCAGCTTGTTTTCTAGAAAAGAGCCTAAATAAAGAATAGACGGTGCTCACTTTTAATTAAACAGAAACTTTTAAAAACAAAATTCCTATGTGAGTAAAAAACCTCTCATTGTTTTGACGAGGAATAACTGTTTCTGGGTTGAAACTTCCTATTCTCACATAAGAATTTAGAAAACTCTGGATTTTTATTTTCATTGGGAGTAGCGTTTTAGTAACAAAAGGCCTCAAGTTTTTTTGTAGTTCAAAATGAAAAAAAGAAAAGTAAACATGGAGGTGAAAACTCCCCATCCCTCTCAACACACACCTTATTTCAACCTCCTTTATTCCCACTGAGAGGAAATTCATTATCTGATCTTTGGACTCGTTCACTGTAGTGCCTGCACTATGCACTCAGGGGAGCTGCCTTCCACCAATATTATGCTCTGACAGGGTGATGGGGCCGGGGCCCAGACGCCTATTCGTTCCCTTTGCATGGAGAAGAAACGTTTTCCCTTACCCTTTGTGTCCGTCCTAAAGCCAGTGGCAGAAGAGGAATTTGATCCATCTGTGTCAGACCCTCTCTCTTTTGTGATCATGCCCTCAGTGAAGGAGGCAGGGAGAGTGCCAGTATTCAGCCTGTTGTAGCCAGTTCACTGGATTAGCCACAGAAAGCATCCCCTCTTAGGGAAAGAGCAAGAGAGCAAGGGTGTTACACAGACAGGGCTGTCTAGAAGTCATTTTGTTCTTAAGTCTGTTGAAGGCTGGCTACAGGATGCCCGTATCAGAGGAGCTAATCAGGATACGGTAGCCTAGGGTACATTTTAGCATTTATTTTCGTTAATCCAAAGCTCACCTTCTATCCCATCATATTAGAACCAAGCCAGGAACTTGTTAAAACATCATTCCTCGCCAACTTTCTGGTCTCAAGAGCGGTTACTCATTGCTTCCTGAATATGGTTAATCAAAGTGCTTATGGAAAGCAGGCATATTAAAAGGCTGATACCACAGGCTACTTCAGAAAGAGGCTGTCTTCACTTCACCACAGCTTGCGTGGATATCCAGAGGGACTGAGTTCAAATTCTGTAATTACAGGCTTTTGCAATTAGTCTTCTCTCTTCTTGGGGGACAGCCTAGACTTCCAGACCAGATGAGGTTGGGGTTACTTTTCTTCCTTTCTGTTTTAATGAGAAATCATGGTGATGAGAGGTAAGTTTTAAATGGTGACATTAATGTTTGGTTAAGTGATATCAGCTGTATTAAAACACTGGGAAGTTGCCTGTCGCTTAGCTTCTTCTTGCGGAGAGAGAGCCAAAGATGGACCTTTGCTTTCTGGGACATTTCTCAAAGTTGGTATTCTTTATCCATGTAGTTACATAGTGGTGTTCTGCCTGCATTATAGCCATGTGATTTTAAGAAAATTATAACATGTGAAGGTACATCAAAAAGCTTATGGAAAATGGAGTTAAAAACATATCCAAAAATTCTGGGATTCACGCATACCAAATATATGGCCAATATTTCCTGCCCTCTACAATATTTGGAGTTCCCCTCCAATCTTATTTGCTTGCACAGACAAGCTTCGGCCTTGGACATACATGTCTCATGCATAATGTCCTGTGTCTGATTTGCTCTGTTCCCAGGCCTTCTGCTTTGTCTAATAGCCCAACGTACTCGGACCTGCCCTTCATTAGGATCTCCCCGCACCGGAACCCTGCGGCCTCTGAGTCTCCTTTCAGCCCTCCTCATCCCTACATTAACCCCTACATGGACTACATCCGCTCCCTGCACAGCAGCCCCTCCCTCTCCATGATCTCGGCAGCCCGAGGGTTGAGTCCCACAGACGGTAAGTTTGAGACGGATTCTGCTTTCCTGCGTCCCATCGCTTCCTCAGCCTGCCTCACCTAGCACATCACACAGAGTGGACTGCACATTCAGGAATGAGTGCTGGAAATGCCTGGTTTTCTATCTGTGCACATGATGTCACAGTAGGCTTAGTGCCCCTTACCTGGAATCCCCGGGGTGCAAAGATTTGGCACATACATCATAAAATACCTTGGGAGTGGAGTACATAAATTAATTTATGTTTTGTATATACTTAATATACATGGTCTGAAGACAATTTCATAGTCTTTTTAAAAAATAATTCTTTGCATTTGAAATTGCAACTTGTCACATGAGGTGTAGTTTGGAATTTTCTGTTTGTGAAGTCATCTAGTTTTTTTGACTTCTGAACGTTTTAGATTTTCGATTGGTGAGGAACAACCTGCATGTGCTTTTTCAGTTAAGGACAGTGATATGTAGACAAATCTAGTGAATTATATCCCGATTGGTCATTCCATTGCCAGAAATGGCAGAGGAGGAATGCAATTCAGCTTTTTTTTTTAAAGATTTATTTTTATTATTTTTTATTGGAAAGGCGGATATACAGAGAGGAGAGACAGAGAGGAAGATCTTCCGTCCGATGATTCACTCCCCAAGTGAGCGCAACGGGCCGATACTATGCCGATCCGAAGCCAGGAGCCTCTTCCGGGTCTCCCACGCGGGTGCAGGGTCCCAAAGCTTTGGGCCGTCCTCGACTGCTTTCCCAGGCCACAGGCAGGGAGCTGGAAGGGAAGCGGGACTGCCGGGATTAGAACCGGCGCCCATATGGGATCCCGGGCGTGCAAGGCGAGGACTTAACCACTTGCGCCACCGCGCCGGGCCCTGCAATTCAGCTTTGACTGGCTCCAATCACCATTCTGTTCTGCTGCCCCTCCATGCAATTAGGCTGGCCCTACAGTCTTCATACGGGTACACGAATAACCTGAATATTTTCCTCTTCCCATCTCTCTGGAATGTTCTGCATGTCAGGGAGGCATATTTTTACAGTTGTGTAAAATACAGCAGTGCTTTGTATGTGCTCATGTTATATGGATAATCTAGGGATAATCAAGTGCAGTTCGGTGCTGGGTGGGGACAGCAAGGCCTGCAGTTCTGCACTTCTGAATTCAACCAAGGGATGTCAGGGTTGCTGGTATATGGACCCCATGCTGGGTAACAAGGGCTAAGGAAACAGTGTGACCCAGACCTGTTGCATATATTTCTATCCTTGGCCTTGCCAAATGAGAGTTGTAAGAGGGATGTGTGGGGAGAATTAGACTTTATTTCTATAATACTAGATAGTCGTTTTAGGTTCTCAAGGATCAAATTGCTGTTGGTTCCATTAGCCTCACAATTAATTACATTTCACATGACTCTTTTTAATTGCTGCTGTGTGTTCCTCTGCTGTCAAGTTATAACCTGTTCCTTTGATTCAGGAAAATGACTTCCCCTCTCATGCATGCATATACAAATTCACTCGCCCACAATTGCTGCAATCTGAATTAAAACCAGAATTGCATAAGCCTTATTAATTGTAGGTAGCAGGTTATGAGTTCTTTGCAGCAGATCACAGGTTGCCACCCCTTGCTTTAGAGTAAAGGAAATAGCACACACTTCATTTCGCTGAGAGTGTTTGATGTGACTTCTGGGTACCTTTGACAGTCTCCACCAAGGCTATTTCCTGAGGCTGGTTGTGCACCGTGGGAAACTGCATGAAGTTTCTTAGGAAACACCCATTCAGTTGTATTTCCAGGAACAGCTATCTTCCAGTGATAACTTCTGGATCTTCTTCCCTCTTCTGTTTCAGTGCAATGGGTGTGATTATAAGACACCCAAGGAATATATTTGCCACTTAGACGAGATTACCATTTTAATAATAGAGCATAACTATGAAAGAGCCAAATCTGAGTTTGTTCTTCTGTTTCAGATCTAGTTTGCACTGGTAAGAGATGCAACCATTCCCATGGAGTGCTTGGGATTTGGTGAAAATGATGAGGAGACAATTCATGGAGATGGAGAAGCCAGCTAAAAATGGACTTGAAATTATGTCCACTTGGTAGAAAGTTAGCTGGGCCTTTAGAAAGCAGCGCCTCTAGTTGATCCACTGAAAAGTGTACCTTAGCACCCTCTTTCCATAGCTTTTAATGATGAGTATGAATAAAATATTCTTGGGTTGACCTGCCTTCCTCCTCCTGCCCTGCAAGTGGAAAGCAGATAATGTCACTATTATTTATCTCATGTGGTTTTCACTTTTCTCTTTAATTACCAATACTTTTGCCATGTATCACGGAAGAAAATCTGAAACATCTGCAAGCCTACTGCTGGGACCCTGAAATTTCCAGATAATATTTATAAAACTGACTTTAAGTGATCAGCTGCTATAGCTAAGTACATTAGAAGCTTCACTTCGGATCTTTAACTCCTCACCACCTCACAAAGCTAGTTTGAATCCAGATCTATGTGTATCTGGAGGCTTCCCTCGCTTGCTGCTTTTGCACTTACACTGGCAGGTGGAAACCAATTATTATCCCACTTGTGGAAGGCTGACTCTTGCTGGTAAATTGCTCCAGATTGATAGGTATATTTTCTTCTTGATTTTGTAATGAGGCAAAAGAAGAGAGAGCTTTTAAATTATGGAACACAAAATTGCAGCTTCTCTTTCCATTGCTTGTTATTAAAGTTGTGCTGCTTTTTTTTTTTTTCCACTTATGTACCCTGGGTCCTGATGTTTAGTATAAGTTAACTCAGATTCTTGTCAAAAAGCTTCAGGAGATATTTTAGGTATGTCTGGTTAGAATATCATAGTTGTCTGGGTTGTCTGTTATTCTGAAAAATGTGAACTTGCAGCCATTTGCTGTGAGAAATTTTGTTGGAGGGCAAAACTGATTATGTACATATGCATTTTAAACTTTTTGAATTATTGGGTGATTTCTTTAGACTAACATCATAAAATTTGTCAATATAGTTCCTGTTTTGTATTCTTTTCACTTTTACTTGCAAATAAAAGGTATTCAACAGACATCAGAGAGAGCACAAATTGAGTTAAAGGAGCATTAATATAATGAGCCTTTAAAAGAGGGGCTTCGTGACATGCAAAACAGGTGGGTTTTGGGGAGGTGCCTCCTTCCACAGCTAACCACGCCTCTGTGTCTTATCCACTTGTCCAGCCCCGCATGCTGGAGTCAGCCCGGCAGAGTACTATCACCAGATGGCCCTGCTCACCGGCCAGCGCAGTCCCTATGCAGATATTCTGCCTTCAGCAGCCACCGCCAGCGCAGGGGCCATCCACATGGAGTACCTTCATGCCATGGATAGTAAGTGACTGGGCTGCTGCCTTCGGTCCTGAGGTTGGGGAGTGGGCGAGGTGCTAAGATGGGGGCGGGGGGATCCGATTTTTCAGCTTCCAGAAGGAACAACCACCAGTACGTGGTGCACTGCTTCCCTTGGCTCTAAGCAGCCTCTACAGAGCAGATCATGCTGTGGTGGCTGGGTGGAGTGAGAACTGGTGGCGAGAAGCAGTTGTAATATGGGAGATGTTTGTGGGGTAAACTAGTGGAAAACCTATGCTGCCCTGAATCTTATGACAGCAGAGTAAGAGGATAAATTGAATTCATGGATGGACTTTGCTCATCTGTCCTTAGATTATTTGGATCTTATGTTCTACATTAAGTAGTGTTCATTTTTTTATGTCAAATGATTTTTGGGTAGTGTGTTTTCTTTGCATTCTGACTGTTGCTGAAGGACTATACATTGTAATAAGTGGACAGCAAAGTCAGGGGGAAGAGCAAGTGGTGGAAAGGGAGAGCCCTGTGTCTCTGGATCCTGTACCCTGAAAAATAAAAAGGCTGTTCCACTAACACCTTTATAGCCCGCTTAATCTGTTGAAAGGTCAGAATAGATACATCTAAGAAAAACAAACTTTCTGAATCAAAGAGGACTACTTTCAAAACGAAAGCAGTGAAACAAATCTCATTATTAGGTTCATGTGCATTACTTATTTTGGAGTCCTGCAAGGCACATGGTGGTTCCTATAGGTAAGAGACCAAAATGGCTACAATTGTGATTATTCAGAGCACCCCAAATTTCTCCTTTACACAGATCTTGAAGTACACAACTTTTTGCAACGTGCCAGGAAGTGAACCTAGAGCTGAGTCACACATCAACAAATTCAGTCCCTTCAAATATGACCATATTATGACATTGAATAGAATATACCCTACAAATTGTGTTTGCTGTGAGCAGTGATTAACTTGTGATTTTCTATCTGCAATCTCTGGATTCTTCTGAGACAGAATGTGTGCCTTGGTCAACTCTGATCATTCAATCCTTGAATTTGGAGAAGAGGGATGTTGACTGAACCTTAGTCTCATTACCACCAAGAGCCGCCTTAGTGTTTCCCACAGGAACAGTTGGTCTGCATCGGTTTCCTTTGGGGAGCCCATTACCACATGCAAAGAAAAAGAAATGTGGTAAATTTTCTGCAGGGGTTTTGTTGTTTGGCTTGATAGGGTGGACAGCTTACGTTTCTGATCCATCATAACCACATTTCAATTAGCAATTGTTGCAGGGAAAGTTGACTGTTATTATGCAAATTAGTTATTTAAACTCTGCAAATAAAGAATTAAAATAAGAGAGAACCCCTGGAAGGTCAGCCCACATTAGTTTCCCTGTTTGATGAGAATGTATTTAGTCAGGCAGTGGCGGTTTCTCTCTAAATAAAGGATGAAGCTACCCTTTTACTTTGTAAAAACTAATTAAAGGAATTTTAATTTGCCTGAGTATATAGTAAATTGATTGTCATTAAGTAGGAATTTAGATGTCCTATCATTCATCACATAAAAGGAAACCTCCTTTTTCTTTGTCAGAATTTTTTATTAGAGTAGAGAAACAAAACAATTAGTAGAAAGCCAGATCGGAGATGTCTGTGTTGCTCAAACAATGAGAACACCCTGGCTTCTGGGTGAGCAGAAAGTGCTGGAATCAGGGATGAACTGGGCTGCCTTCTCGCAGCTGTTTGGAAGATGCTCCTGTGCTTGAGCAACTCTGCAAAAGGGGCTCCCCAGTCACTGTGCCGAAGATGCTGCCTTCTTTGCTTGGTTATTAGCGAGTGAAAATAGCCAAGTGTAAGGTACCATATTCCTTCCCTCTGAAATAATTGAAGTAGCATTTACATAGACTATGCCAAGATGAATACCCATTGATGAAAATCATAAAGATTTTCCAGTGCAGGAGGGAAGCATTGATCGTCAGTTCCCGCATTGCCACCTACAATGGCAGATCTGAACTGGGACATAACTGATCACTCCATTCAGTTGTTGCAAGTCTTTCAGACTCTTTGGCCGAAACCTGAATCAATTGCTTTCAGATGAACTAGTGACTTTTAAATGAGCCGGGTTTCAGCAAGGTATAAGGAGGAGTATGAGGTAAAGGTAAACAAGCCTGCATATAGTTCTACATCTACCTTTTCAGTTAGACTGACCTTATAGGAGACCAAAGTATGTAATTCTGGAAAATCCAGAGAAGAGGCCCTCTAAAAATGCATTATTTATGTTGGTGGAGATTGACTTCAATAAGAGCTGGTTGTTCAGGGAAAAGCAGAGAGGAGTTATTCTGTCAAAGCTATGTGCAGCCTGAAACATCCCAGGGAAAGGGTGGCAAGGTCTTTCCAGGCAGCTGTTCCATCCTCATGTGGGACGTGCAGCTGTGGTATTTTGTAGCAGGCGGTGACCTCCCATCTCCGGTGTGGTTGCTGGTTAGTGATTTAGAGACTTAACGACATTCCAGGCGCTAGCTCAGTCCAGCATGTCCCTGCTGCTTCGGACACTGCCAATGACCATTTTGATCCTACAGACAATGATTAAAGCTCATGATCACAAGAGATAGATAATCAATATGGCTGCTTTTCTTGGAAATATCTGTAAATGGCATGTATGTGTTCACTGACAAACCTCTATGATGAAGTTATCCTCTCAGTGAATTAAATGTGACACAGTAATGTTGGAGGCCAATAAGGGAACAATACTGACTTATAAACATTAAAACATGTTCATGGTAGAGATGGCCAATTTGTAGTAACAGACCTTAAATCAGGCTGTTAGTGAAACTAATCTAAGTGAAGGAACTCATATTAAATGTGCTAGAAAAATAGGCACCACATTTGTTATTCAAATTGGTTTTCCAGTTTTTACATATGATTCACACCGAGTTGTAGTTTGTGGTTGTGGTATAAAATACTACATACTCATGCATATCATTTCATCAAATTATCCAAAGCATGTTGGGGTTTTATCTATATCAAGATCTCTGGCAAATTTGCAGTGAAATTTCTGGAGACCAAGTATCTGGATTTCTTTTTTTCTATGTAAAGAGCTTATGCACTGCTTCAGTTTTCTGGACACAATTTTCCATATCCCTGTAAGCAAATATACCCGTGCTATAAGGCAGGAGAAACCCTCAAACACTAATAGTGTTTGAGTATATATCACCTACTATGGTTATGTTCATCAAATATGTGTTGACAACTCTTCAATGTAAATATGACCCTTGCAAAGATGGGAATGGCCCTGTGGGCTACACTCATCCCTGTGCCTAAAGTTCAGATCTGTCCTTTCTACCAAACTGGAATGCAAATGGGAACTAAGTTTTTTCAACTCCTTAGGTAAAACAGTATTGTGTCAGGTTGGCATGAAGATTAAGCTGCAGATAGTAAACTCCACATTAGAACTTCCTTGGTGGAACCTTCTTGAAACCTCATAGGTATTGTCCTCTCTTCTTCTTGGAGAAACAAGCTTTAGAGGATTCCTGGCCCTAGTAGGCACCTCACATTTTGTTACTGTGGCTACTGGGTTTTCTGCATTCACCTTGGAACATCTGTGAACAGACAGCATCCCAGATATTTCATAAGATGTGTGCTCCTAGATTATGGGGAGTTGGGGCCAGACACCTGTAATATTGACGCTACTGGAAGGAGATGTTTATTATGGTAGGCTACTCTCAGCATCCTTGGCTTCTACTCACTGGAAATCCACTTGTGCCTACACTGAATTGTGACAGCCAAAACATCTCCAGATGTTATTAAATGTCTCCTGAGGGATGACATAGGGTAGGGGACAATTGAGATCTACCAGTTTAAGGTAATACATCCGTGAGTTATGTTAGCGACACTGTACATACACTATGGAGCATCACTGAGCTGAATTCTGTCTTAGGATGTTTCAAACCTTTGTTTTTCTTCTGGCCTATTGCCTTACAATGGTGTGTGTTGGGGTAGGGAGGGTGGAGTAGCAACTGTGGGAACCACTGTCTTTGTCACTTGTAGTGAATTAATGATGGGGATATCTAAGCAGCCGTCAGATTCATAAATCACTAGGAATGAGAGGGATAACACATAAAAGTCTCTCCCTTTTGTTTAGCAATTTATCATTTTGCCTGCACATTAATAAACAGAGCTCCCCCGAGGTAATCCTCTGGAAGATAAATATTTCTCCCTAATTTCCTCAATTGTAGCAAGTAGACCACAAGGGGGAGGAGGGAGCTTGTCAGTACAAGTCGCCAGCTCCTTATCCTCCACGGCTTCCACACAGGCGAGTAGCAATCAATAACAGGTGTAGAGTCCAACTGCAGGTAATCAAGTTCTGTTTTGTTTGTATAACAGGCACCAGATTCCCCAGTCCCAGGCTGTCAGCCAGGCCGAGCCGGAAACGCACACTGTCCATATCACCACTGTCTGATCATAGCTTTGACCTTCAGACCATGATAAGGACGTCTCCCAACTCCTTGGTCACCATTCTCAATAATTCCCGTAGCAGCTCTTCAGCAAGTGGCTCCTATGGTCACTTATCTGCAAGTGCAATCAGGTATGTGTTTTCCTGAATCCATTGTGTGTGTGTGTGTTTTAAATAAAATGTCAGCACTAGACTGCGACTGTGGCGATGCATTTGCAGGACAAGTGTGTCTGAGAAAGGAAAACAAACAAACAATAGCAAAAAATGCATGCCACTATGCACCAGAATATAGATCAAACATCGTGACAATGAACTTGTGCAAAGCCAGTTCAGAGGCCATGGGTTTTTGTTTTGTTACGTTTTGATGAACATTAATCAGAAGCCCACATGTTTGATGTTGAAATAGTGGCTGTTCCGTTATGATGAAATCCACTTCTTAGAGCAGATATGGCAAATATTTTTATCTAGAGTTTCTCTTACTAATGATAGCTCTCTAAATAAAAGAGGCCTCCTTGGCTTGCTATGTTACACACATGCAGATCAGGAAGAGAAATGTAAGGAACAGTCATGGCACAAGTCTTGTCCCATGACTGCTGAGGGCAAGGGGTCAATTAAAGGAGAGAAACACAAAGGTAACAGCAGGTGTGCAGTCCAATAGAAAGTCTGTGTACATGAGGTTGGAAGTCAGCATTGTCAAGAAACCTGGCCGAGGCGTGCTTCCTTGTCTTCCTTCGAGTATCTTTTCGGGTGATTTAAGAGGCCTCAGTTTTGACCATACAGCGAAAGGATGGTGACACTGTTTTTGTGATGTTGACACTGTTGTTTGTTTTTTATGACGTTGACACTTCCTTACATGAAGTTTGTTATCGTTACGTGCATGTGACGGTCCATATTCAGACTTTTGTAAATATGACTAATGGAAAATATTTCTTACTTATTAACAATCAAACTTGGGCTGATTTCAATTGCAGGGAATACAAAATAAGTCTGTTTATGAAATGTAGGTGTGTTTATGCTGTTTTTGACAGCTCATCATTTGTTGTTTGAGCTGAGTAGTTCACAAAGGTTATTTGAAATAATTAGTTAGTATTCTAATAGTTAAGCAAACCTAGCCATGCATATTACCTTTCATTTTATCTGAATTTTTCTGTAGCAGTTTAAGAATTGATTTATTAGCAATGTGTTTGTAGTTTTGCAACCTACTAATGAGTTCTTGCTTTTTAAAAATGTACACTAAAGACTACTTTCAATTGTCTTGCTTTTAATAAGTGAGAATTTGATTGTTTCTGTGAATGGGCAGTAGCTTTCGTTGTTAATTGATGGGTTTTCCATGGTAGGTATTTATAGTATGGAAACTGCAGCAGTGTAGAAAAGAGTATTAGCAATGACAGCTTATCCATATTTACTAGAAGTAATGTTTCTTCATGTTATCCTTTGCAGTTTCAGTTCTTATTTCATTTGTTAATGAGGCCCTTTGGCAGGCTAGTTAGTGCGTAACTATTGTAAATGCCAATTTTGATGTGATGTGGTTTTCTGCTACTCTTCTTTCTACATTTCATATGGTCATTAACATGTGGAAATATGGAGTGAAGCAAAGAACTGCTTGCATGATTGTAGTCAGAACACGGAGAGGAGGGGTCTTGTGGAGCTTGCAAGCTAAGCCACTGTAGTCACAAATGCAGATTTTCAAGTTGAACACATCTGCAATCAGATTCCAGCTTTCTATTAGTTGAAACCTAACTTATCCTGACATTCAAGTTGAGTCTTCGGGTTTATAAACCACAGGTAAGATACCCACAGGCGAAGACAGGAGTACCTTCTTTAAAGACGATGTGGATCTTCTGCAGTAGGAAGAGATTCCCTCCAGGGCAGAAACTCAGGAGCACAGACATGGGATGATTGCTTCAGCACGTGAGCTATCATGTCCTGGCTGTGCCTCAGCTTGACCGTGTCTGTCTGTCCCTAAGGAAGGCTGTCAGTCTTACCCTGAGCCTAATGCTTCCTTCACTCCTGGTAAATATTTCCAGACCACAGGGTGTGTCTGAGCTGAATGAGGTTATTCAGTGTTACATGGGTGACCTAGAACTTCTGGCACACAGTGGCAGTCACATGGAATCACCTTGGGGTGGACATTTCTTTCTTTGGTTTCTGTTTAAATTTTCTTCCCTCCTGCTCTCTGCTCAAGTGTCTTGGCTTTTTGACAGAATTCCAAGGACACAGATTAGAATGTGGCTCACAAGTGGTCATGCTGGTGCTATGCTTACTTACTATGCATGGACTCGCTTGCCTCACCTTTGTTCCGGTAAGCTACTACCAGTACTTGAGAGACCACTGATATCCTGGCTTGAAATCCTTGTCTCCAGCGTGCTACACTCAGCCCCATTATATTCAGCGGCTGTGGAAGAAGAGGTTGACTGGAGACTGGTTGTGTTCTGTGACAGGAGCCTGAGGAACATCATGCTCTCACCACCCTCTGAGCCCATCCATTGATTTTCTCCCCTGCAGTGGGCTCTCTGACTCTTTGCTGTATGTGAGGGTAGCGTGTCACACTACTGAGCAGAAAGGAACAGAGATATCCACCCTCCAGTGAGATCAGCGTGACATGGTATCTAATAGCTGCAGTAATTGTCATCACCTGTGCCACTTGCCAGACCTTTAGCTGGAGAAACACTAGGGCTTTTCTCCCTGGTTTTCACTTCATGAGTTCTACAAACTGACTTCAGCAATGTCACCTGGTGACCAGTGGATGAGGACAGGAAGGCAGGAAAGGAAAGAAGCATGAAGACATCTGAAGAGGAAAAGTGACTTTTGCAAAATTGAAAAATGCAAGGAAGACGTCACATTGCAGGAGGGTTTCATCTCTAACCAGAGCGCTAAGGTTCTCATCTCACAGATTGCTTGGGAATCAAGCAGTGCTATTCCTGTTTTACATGCGGTCACAGGAGTCTTTGCTAGATGATTTTGACAAACGTCATGTACCTTAGTGACAAAATTCCAGGTCCCTGCCAGTTCATTTTCTCCAAACACATTGGACATTTACATTCAGGTGTTTTATAATGCATAGTTTGCCATTGAAGATGGTGTTGCCTAAGGAAATGAGGTATTTTAGGTTTCTGAAGATGTTATTTAATGTTTGAAGATATGCTTTTCTAAACTCATCTGTCTTTTGTGTCATCTCTCTCTCCTTCCTGTGTACTCTAACTCAGTATTATTGGAGAGGTCCATGAGTGCGCTCGCCACTGTTGGAAATTCCTGTATTTCCTTGCTCAGTTATCGCTTGTGTCTGTTTCCTTCCAATGGAATGCGAACGCTAAGATGTTAAGAATAATGGCATCTCTTCCCATCCCCCAGAACTGTGTCTTCTCACCTTCATACCAGTTAACAATGACCCCTTAAATCAATTAAATAAGTAGCTCCTTTATGAGTAATTACAATTCTAGCTACCTGATTTTATTGAAGCAAGTTTCTACAGGGTAGGTGAACAACTGTTGATAATCTATTTTGGGATGCTGTGTTTTGAGTTTGTTTCCTTAGCAATTCAAACTGCTATGAAGATGCTGTAAAATACATATTCACTAAGCTTACCATTACATCAAATCGTAGTAAACCGATTATGTCAAAATTTTCCCAACTCATTGCCCAAAAGTCTTATCCCAGGTCTTTTTCATTTCATAACTGCAGTGATTATTCAAAACAATAACCCATGTACATGGGAGAGTATATTGTGAAATATCTACTTTCTCAAGAGGTTATAGCTTTTGTATTGCCCTGAAGATTCATATGCAAGAATAAGAGAATCAGATTTATCAAATACAGTCTGTAACCTCCCACTCTGTATAGTTAAGACCAATTAATCACATTATATTAAAATTGTTTACTTCTGCTAATACTTTCTCCGAAGAGATTGAAGATTGAACTGCCATTGGAAGGGAAGGTTTAAAATGATCCTCATCCTCCTGCAGTTTTCTGGCATCTGTAAATGGAGTGAAGGAAAGAGTAACCCTCTCACTTCTAACTCATCAGTTACAGCTTTGTCAATTTCAGTGTAATGGTGAAAATGAAGATGGCTTTAGGTCTGGTTTGGCCAGGAAAGATAAAGTGACCCTCTCCTATCCCTTGTCACCGCATGAGTTTGTTGCCTACATCTTCTCTCTGCTAGCCAGTGCAGGGCTGATTTTCCGTTACTCACGATCACAGCCCAGGCCGTCGATCAGAGAGCAGGATGTGTTTTCTGCGCTGTGCAGCATTGGCCTTCTCCAGCGGTAGGACCCTGGCTATATCTAGAATGCCTAGAGGGTCTGGCTGAGCCTGGGTAAGAACAAGTTCAGTGCACACACTCTTGGGCTGTGCTGTTGCTAGGAGTTTATATCAGAGAAAAAGACAAAAAGGAATCCGGAAAAATTCTGAAGAACAGATGAGAGCAGTGGCAAAGAACCAGCGTTTTTAAAATTCTCAGATTCTCTCTTCTAAGAGTTGTAAGTTTACTTTCTCCCCTAGTGTTGATGAAAGCAATACAAGGATACTTCTAAAAATCTCATAGAAAATAATTAGAAGTACAAGTTTTGGCATAAAAATGACATTTATGCATTATTTTTCATAATACACCTTTTCCACATAATATGAAAATAAATTTTGACACCAAAATAGCATCATGCTGTTCATTTTCCGTGAACTTTTTGAAGTCAGAACCTACTCACGTCAGACCTAAAAAGGCAAGCTGTCATTTACTTTCTGATGTGGGAATTGGGTTTACATACCACTTCTTTTAGTCAGTTATTCATTGCCACAGTGTTCAACTCATTTTAACTACATGTTAAGCACAGTGCTGGACAGGGAGGCTGCCCAAATCAGTCAGAAGGACGTGACCCCACCCCCTTTGAGAAACTTGGGAAAACCTGATGACATGCTGGTCAGTAGTGTAAATGATACCAGGTAGAACTCCAGGAGGAATAGCACAGAGGGCCTGATTCAGGTGGCTGGCCAGGAAATCCAGTCTTTTAGCAGGATGGCCCTCCCTGCGGGATTTCTGCAGCTTTGTAAGAGCAGTACATGAAGGCCCTGGGGCATGAATTTACCCGGTGGGTCTAACTTTGACCTCCTTTTCATTCATCAAATTATATTTCCTTTTCTAT